GATAATTCTTGGTTTTGGGGGGCCGTCTTGTGCATTGCAGGATGTTTGCCAACGTCCCTGGCCTCCACTTACTAGGTGCCAATAGTTCCCTCCCTTCAATTGTGACAATCAAAAAATGTCTCCAGCCCTAACTGGTTTGGCTCAGTGGATAGAGCATCGGCCTGCGGACTGAAGGTTCTCAAGTTCAATTCCAGTCAAGGGCATGTACCTTGGTTGCAGACACATCCCCAGTATGAGGTGTGCAGGAGGCAGTTGATCGATGTTTCTCTCTCATCAGTGTTTCTAGCTCTCTATCCCTCTCCCTTCCTCTCTCTGTAAAAAATCAGTAAAATATATATATTTTTAAAAAATGTCTCCAGATGCTGCCAAATGTCTCCTGGGGGCAAAATCACCTGTGGTTGAGAATCACTGGATTAGATCATTCTTTTTATCCTATATTGTGGCTGACAAATAGCTTGTACTAGGACAGTGATGGCGAACCTATGACACGCGTGTCCGAGGTGACACGCGAACTCATTTTTTTGGTTGATTTTTCTTTGTTAAATGGCATTTAAATATATAAAATAAATATCAAAAATATAAGTCTTTGTTTTACCTATGGTTGCAAAGATCAAAAAATTTCTATATGTGACACGGCACCAGAGTTAAGTTAGGGTTTTTCAAAATGCTGACACGCCGAGCTCAAAAGGTTTGCCATCACTGTTAGGAGTAGGCAAAGTGTCAGTTTTGACATTCTTTTTCTATCAGCAGGAGTGTTATCTTCAATATGAGGTTTGAAGTTTGTTTGTAGGAATTCTTTTTAAGCCACTTGAAAAGTTTACTTTAGTTAACTAGATAATATAATCCATACATTTACTTAGTATTTGTAAGCTGTAGTGTGTCACAATAAGATGAACGTGCAAGAAGAGTGAGAACCCCACCATCAAGTGCTCTCAAGTGTGGATTGTTCAGTATTCAATATACCTTTTGACCATACGTAACTTACTGATATGAACCCTAGGTGAGGGTGCCTCTGTAAATGTTTAACATGAAAAATCTGGGTTTTTTTGTAACGTCTAGATTAATACATTACTAAATAATGTAATCTGTCTACAATCCCAATAAAGAGTCTCCTGTGTGCTCTCATAGGTGTGTGGAACCTATTTTGTAAACCATGGGTTTGGTCATCGCATTGTAACCTGTTCAGTTTTTGTCATTGCATCCATAGTACTCAAAGGTGAAACTAAAGTAAGTTCTCTTACTGACTTCCACTTAACCAGCTGATCAGGTTAACTGGTATTGTCCATTTAAAAAATATTTGATGCCAAATTAGGTGTGAGTCATATTTAAAGGAAGATCACTGGCCCTATATCAAAGATTGGAGAATGAATGTTCATTTTTACAGTTTTAAGTTAAAATTAAATGTTTAAGGTTTTACCATTACTTAGGATTTCCTCTTTTTTAGAATGACCATTTATATTCTCAGAACTTAGCTTCCTCCTTGCTACCTTACAGGGTCATTGTGAAGGCCTTAAATCTATCAATAGTAATTCAGACTCTCATTACTTTTTGTCTATAATTATAGCATGCTTTTAATTGGACTCTCACATCATAAAATAAATGTCTAATCAGATCAAAAGCCATGTATAACACAAGAGCTACAAATTTTAAAAATTACTGTATGTGCTGGCTTAAATGTGGTTTGTGCAATCGGAAGTGTACAGTAAATACATTATCAAAATAAATATATATGTACACACACACACACACACACACACACACACACACACACACTGAGTTGTGATTATGTGTCCAAAGAAAAAATATTGGATGCAGTTTAGTGATTATCTGATATAGATTGGGAGGAAGGTGATCAGGGGAGGCCTCTCTGAGGAAGTGAGATTTAAAGATCTCTTCTGTCAGAAGAAGCTGTGCTAGTTTGCAAAAAGTGCCACGCCAAGTTTTTTCCAGGAAGAAGAAATAATGTGTAAAGGCTTTGCTGGAAGGCCATTGTGCTTAAATGTACTAAGAGATGGAGAGAATAGTGCCAGATGAGGCAGGAGGTAGGCAAGCGCAAAATGTATTCTGTGCTAAGAAGTTTAGGGTTTGTTTGTTGTGGAATCATTGGGGCGCAATAAAGGGTTTAAACAGTGAGAGTGATGTGATCCGATTTGTGTTTTGGGAATTTTACTCTTAACTGTAGAGAATGGATGAGAGAGGAATGGGAGTAGGGCAAAAGAAGTGGGAAAACCAGTTAGGAGACCTTTGTAAGTAGTAGTTTAGGGACAAAGGTAATAGTAGTCTAGAGCAGTGGTTCTCAACCTTCCTAATGCCGCGACCCTTTAATATAGTTCTTCATGTTGTGGTGACCCCTAACCTTAAAATTATTTTCGTTGCTACTTCATAACTGTAATTTTGCTACTGTTATGAATCGTAATGTAAATATCTGATATGCAGGATGTATTTTCATTATTACAAATTGAACATAATTAAAGCATAGTGATTAATCACAAAAACAATATGTAATTATATATGTTTTCCGATGGTCTTAGGTGACCCCTGTGAAAGGGTCATTCGGGGTCGCGACCCACAGGTTGAGAACCGCTGGTCTAGAGGCATGACAGTAAACAAGATAACACATGAAGTGATTATCTCATTAAAACTATTATAACCCTGTGTAGTATGAGCAGAATAGGACTTGAAATTTATCCAAGCCCATCAAGTAAATGGTGGTGTAAGGAATTGAAATCATGAATTTTCAATTTGGCCCTTGTCTCTAAAATAAAAGATAAGCTCCACTGAAGATTTTTCAGGCTATCTATATTATCTTTACCTCCTCATAATCTCTTATTTACCTACACCATAGCCAAACTAAACTATTGCAGTAGTGATTGTGAACATAACTTGTTCCTTGATGCCACGGATGATGATTTACTATGACTAGAATACTCAGCCCCACATACTTAATAAAATTCTAAACATCCTTTAGGATTCTGGTCAAATATGAAGCCTTCCAAATTTGCCTACAAACACGCATTGTCCATTTATTCCCTTTTAACCAAAATAGTTTCTTTGTATTATAGTATGTTAATTCAACCAATATTAATGTGATGTCTATGTGCGGGGCACTGTGTGTAGACATTGTGGACAATATTTGTGTATGTGAATAGATACAGTCACAATCACTATGGAACCTGTAGTCCAAAGATAATACTTATAGACCTTGACAGAAGCTGTACATACAAATGTGTAATTATAAATTTTGAGAAGTGATATGAAGAAAGAGTAAAGGATTCCCCTGAGTTCTTTAGGCCCTTTTGGAGGACCCTTGAGTTCACAACTATTTTCAGTACTATCTGGAGTATAGGGAAATTGGCATTCTATCAGCACATCTATGGACACGATAGGATTGAGGTGCTGATAGGATTGATAATTTTTACAGCCTTTTGGGAGAGTATATATTAATATTGATTTAAAATGTTAAAAGCTGTGTGTATGTGTCCATCTGTCCTTTGATCCAGCAGCTGCCCTCTAAGAATTTATCTACAGCAATAAAAGTCAAAGTAAATGCATAACAATGGTCAGCCTTAGGTTAACAATGAGATCAAGGAAGAATCAAAAGATGCCTTGAAACAAACAAAAATGAGAACACAACAACTCAAAATCTATACAGCAAAAACAATTCTTGAAAAAGAATGAGAAACAAAGCCCAAAGTGAGTTGAAGGAAGGAAACAATAAAGATCATAGCAAAAATAAACCCAATAGAGTTTCAAAAAACAATACAAAAGATCAATGAAACCAAGAGCTTGTTCTTTGAAACAATAAACAAGATTGACAAACCTTTAACCAGCCTCATCAAAAAAAAAAAAAGGACCCAAATAAATAAAATCAGAAATGAAAGAGCAGAAGTAACAACTGACACCAAAGAAATATGAAGGATTGTGAGAAAATATTCTGAACAACTATATGCCAACAAATTGGTCAATCTGGACAAAATGGATAAATTTCCGGAAACATAATCTTCCAGAACTGAATAAGGAATACTTAGAGAATCTGAATAGATAAATTACACTAGTGAAATTGAAGGAGTAATAATAATAATGAAAAAAACTACCAGTAAACAAAAGTCCTGGATGGGATGGCCTCACCAGTGAATTTTACCAAAATTCAAAGAAGAAGTAACATCTCAAACTATTCCAAAAAATTCAAGAGGAGGGAAGACTCCCAAGCTCATTTTACAAGGCCAGCATTATCTTAACTTCAATCAGATAGAGGCACTACAAAGAAAGACAATTATATTATAGGCTAATGTCCCTGATGAACATAGATGCTAAAATCCTCAACAAAATATTAGCAATACATTAAAGAGGTCATACACCATGATGGAATTTATTCTGGGAATGCAAGGTTAGTACAATATTCACATATCAATAAGTATGATACACCACATAAACAAAATGGATAAAAACCACATGATCATATCAAATGCAGAAAAAGCATTTGATAAAATCCAGCACCCATTTATGATAAAAACTCTTAGCAAAGTGGGCATAGAGGCAACATACCTCAATGTAATAAAAGACATATATGACAAACCCACACCCAACATCATACTCAATGGGCAAAAACTACAAGTGTTGCTCTTCAGATCAGGGACAAGACAGGAATGTTTGCTTTTGCCATTCTTGTTCAGCATAGTGCTGGGGGTTGTGGCCACAGCAATCAGATAGGAGGAAGGGGTAAAAGGCATTTTGGTTGAAAGGGAAGAAGTGCAACAACCATTTTTTTCAGATGACATGATACTGTATGTAGAGTACTCTAGGGATTCCACCAAAAAACTGCTGAAACTTACAGATGAATTCAGTAAAGTAGTGGGATACAGGGTAAATAAATATCTAGAAATCAGTTGCATTTGAATGCACAAATAGTGAACTATCAGAAAGGGAAACTAAGAGAATAATTCCTTTCACAATTGCTTCAAGGAGAATAAAAGGGATGAATTTGACCAAGGATGTGAAAGACCTGTACTCAGAAAATTATAAGACACTGAAGAAATTGAAAATATACAAATAGGTAGAATTGTATACCAAGTTCATGAATGGAAAGAATTAACGTCATTGGGATGTCCATGCTGCTCGAAGCAATCTATAGATTCAGTGCAATTTCTCTCAACAGTGGCATATTTCACAGAACTAGAACAAGTAGTCCAAAAGTTTATATGGAACCCCAGGAGACCCCAAATAGCCACAGCAATCTTGAGAAAACAGATTTGAAGGAATCACACTACCTGATGTCAAACTATGCTATAAGGCCAGGGTGATTGAAATAGCATGGATTGGCATAAAAATGGACATATAATAAATGGAACAAAACAGAGAGCCCATAGTCAATTAATGTTTGACAAGGGAGGCAGGAACATACAGTAGGGCAGTGATGGCGAACCTTTTGAGCTCAGTGTGTCAGCATTTTGAAAAACCCTAACTTAACTCTGGTGCCATGTCTCATATAGAAATTTTTTGATATTTGCAACCATAGTAAAACAAAGATTTATATTTTTGATATTTATTTTATATATTTAAATGCCATTTAACAAAGAAAAATCAACCAAAAAAATGAGTTCGCGTGTCATAGGTTCGTCATCACTGCAGTAGGGTAAAGATGGTCTATTCAACAAATGGAAAATTGGATAGATACATGCAGAGAGAGGAGACCAGACTACCTTCTTGCACTATACATGATAATAAACTTAGAATGAATTAAATACATACATTTTAGACTTGAAATAAAAAAAAACTAGAAGAAAACAAAGGCAGGAAATTCTTGGACATTTCTCATAGTAATATTTTTTCTGAAAATTTTCTTTGGGCAAGGGAAATGGGGAAAAAGAATAAACAGGTAGGATTGCAACTGGAAGGTTTTTGCACAGCTAGAGGAAACATCAGCAGGATGAAAGGGCAATCCACTGAATGGGAGAACGTGTTTGCTGGGGCATCTGACAAGGGATTAATACCCAAAATGTATGCAGAATTTATAAAATTCAACACCAAAGAATAGTCCAATTAAGAATGGACGAGAAAACCAAGATGACGGCATAGGTAAACACCAGAGTTTGCTACCTCGAGCATCCACTTCAAAAATATAACTAAAAGACAGAACGGACATCATCCAGAACCACAGGAAGGCTGGCTGAGTGGAAGTTCTACAACTAGGAGGAAAGAGAAAAGCATACCGAGACTCATAGGAGGCGCAGTGCTGAAGTAAAATACTAAGGCGCGAGTGCATGCGGAGCGGGCTGGCGGCTGAGGGCGCGGTTATCGTTTTCAATCAGGAGGGATTCTCAGGCTCTGAGCTCCAATTCCGGGCGAGTCTCTATGGATCCAGACTCATATGGGAGAAGCGGGCATGTCTGGCCTTGCTCACAGCCC